TGCCACCCGATCACCAGAGGCTGTCGCGGAGAGACGCACAGGGAGACCAGAGCCGGGCACGGGGCGCCGGCTGGTGCATGCTGCCATCTGGGAGGTGGCTGTGTGGTGTGGACAGCAGGGCGGCAGTGCTGATGGAGGTAGCGTTCAGCGTGGCGGGAGGACGGCGGAGCTGAAAGGGGCGTGCCCACAGGAGGTGAGGGGAGTTCCTGGGATGGTGGAGCTGGGGACGACGGTGGCTGCAACGGTGCTGGGTGTTCAGAGGCTGAGGCTGGTGGGGAGCAGAAGTGACTGGAGGATGGCTGGGCCACATTCCACCCGCATGGACGGCCCCCAGGGGCCTGCCTGACACACACAGACACAGACAGACACACAGCACCTGCCTGACACAGACACACACACACAGACACACACACAGCGCCTGCCTGACACACACACACAGAGCACCTGCCTGATCACACACACACAGCGCCTGACACACACACACAAACACAGACACACACACACACAGCGCCTGCCTGATCACACACACACACACACACACACACACACACACACAGAGGACCTGCCTGATCTCTCTCTCACACACACACAGTGCCTGCCTCATCACACACATACACAGAGCACCTGCCTGATCTCACACACACACACACACACACACACAGAGCGCCTGCCTGACACACACACACACACACAGAGCGCCTGCCTGACACACACACACACACAGAGCGCCTGCCTGACACACACACACACACACAGAGCGCCTGCCTGACACACACACACAGACACACACAGAGCACCTGCCTGACACACACACACACAGAGCACCTGCCTGACACACACACACACAGAGCACCTGCCTGACACACACACACACACAGAGCACCTGTCTGACACACACACACACAGAGCGCCTGCCTCACACACACACACACACAGCGCCTGCCTGACACACACACACACACACACACACACAGAGCGCCTGCCTGACACACACACACACACACAGAGCGCCTGCCTGACACACACACACACACAGAGCACCTGCCTGACACACACACACACACAGAGCACCTGCCTGACACACACACACAGAGCGCCTGCCTGACACACACACACAGAGCGCCTGCCTGACACACACACACAGAGCGCCTGCCTGACACACACACACACACAGAGCACCTGCCTGACACACACACACAGAGCGCCTGCCTGACACACACACACACAGAGCGCCTGCCTGACACACACACACACAGAGCGCCTGCCTGACACACACACACAGAGCGCCTGCCTGACACACACACACAGAGCACCTGCCTGACACACACACACACAGAGCGCCTGCCTGACACACACACACACACAGAGCACCTGCCTGATCTCACACACACACAGAGCACCTGCCTGACACACACACACACACACAGAGCACCTGCCTGACACACACACACACACACAGAGCGCCTGCCTGACACACACACACACAGAGCACCTGCCTGATCTCACACACACACACACAGAGCGCCTGCCTGACACACACACACACAGAGCACCTGCCTGACACACACACACACACACAGAGCACCTGCCTGACACACACACACACACACAGAGCGCCTGCCTGACACACACACACACACAGCACCTGCCTGATCACACACACACACACATACACACACAAACAGTGCCTGCCTGATCAAACACACTGGCGCCTCAGTAGAAGCCATTCCTGCACTCAGGTCCCAGAAGCTCCTCGGGGAGTCCTGTTTGGAGATCTGGGCCTGGGTGGCTGTACTCCAGATTCAGAATGTGAGAACCCAGGACTGGGGGCTCCAGTGTTCCTGCTCACAGCCCCTGCCACTGCGCACAGCCCCTGCCCCTGCTCACAGCCCCTGCCCCTGCTCACAGCCCCTGCTCACCCTGCCCCTGCTCACCCTGCCCCTGCTCACCCTGCCCCTGCTCACCCTGCCCCTGCCCCTGCTCACCCTGCCCCTGCTCACAGCCCCTGCTCACCCTGCCCCTGCCCCTGCTCACCCTGCCCCTGCCCCTGCTCACCCTGCCCCTGCTCACAGCCCCTGCTCACCCTGCCCCTGCCCCTGCTCACCCTGCCCCTGCCCCTGCTCACAGCCCCTGCCCCTGCTCACCCTGCCCCTGCCCCTGCTCCCCCTGCCCCTGCTCACAGCCCCTGCCCCTGCTCACCCTGCCCCTGCCCCTGCTCCCCCTGCCCCTGCTCACAGCCCCTGCCCCTGCCCCTGCTCACCCTGCCCCTGCTCACCCTGCCCCTGCCCCTGCTCCCCCTGCCCCTGCCCCTGCTCACCCTGCCCCTGCTCACAGCCCCTGCTCACCCTGCCCCTGCTCACCCTGCCCCTGCTCACAGCCCCTGCTCACCCTGCCCCTGCTCACCCTGCCCCTGCCCCTGCTCCCCCTGCCCCTGCTCACCCTGCCCCTGCCCCTGCTCACCCTGCCCCTGCCCCTGCTCACCCTGCCCCTGCCCCTGCTCCCCCTGCCCCTGCTCACCCTGCCCCTGCGCACAGCCCCTGCTCACCCTGCCCCTGCCCCTGCTCACCCTGCCCCTGCGCATGGTCCCTGCCCCTGCTCACAGCCCCTGCGCACAGCCCCTGCCGCTGTGCATGGCCCCTACCCCTATCCCCGACGTCCCAGTATGCAAAGAAGCCAGACAGGCGGGCCTCAGCGACCCCCCCCCCCCCGCCCCAGCCCCCGGCACTAGGCCTCGAATGCAAGAGGGGGCAAAGCTGGGGCGGCGGAGACCTTCCCAAGCCGGGCGCCCCACTCAAACCTAGGCTCGCAGGCCCAGGGCCCAGCGCCCCATCCCTTCTCAGCCAAGGGGACGCACAGCGTGCGCTGCCCACGTGCGGGAAGACCGGGTGAGGTGCCGCGCCTCCCCGCGCCCGCCGGCGCCCTCCCCGCGCCCACCGGCGCCTCCCCGCACCCTCCGCGCTCTCCCCGCACTCTCCGCGCTCTCTCCGCGCTCTCCCCAAGCGTGCCGGCGCCCTTCGCGCTCTCCCCGTGCCCTCCCCGCGCCCACCCCGCACCCTCCCCGCGCTCTCCCCGCGCTCTCCCCAAGCGTGCCGGCGCCCTTCGCGCTCTCCCCGTGCCCTCCCCGCGCCCACCGGCGCCCTCCCCGCGCTCTCCCCAAGCGTGCCGGCGCCCTCCGCGCTCTCCCCGCGCCCTCCCCGCGCTCTCCCCAAGCGTGCCGGCGCCCTCCGCGCTCTCCCCGTGCCCTCCCCGCGCCCACCGGCGCCCTCCCCGCACCCTCCCCGCGCTCTCCCCAAGCGTGCCGGCGCCCTCCGCGCTCTCTCCGCACCCTCCCCGCGCTCTCCCCAAGCGTGCCGGCGCCCTCCGCGCTCTCCCTGTTCTCCCCGCGCCCACCGGCGCCCTCCCTGCACCCTCCGCGCTCTCCCCGCGCCCGTCGGCGCCCTCCGCGCTCTCCCCGTGCCCTCCCCAAGCGTGCCCGCGCTCTCCCCAAGTGTGCCGGCGCTCTCCCCAAGTGTGCCGGCGCTCTCCCCAAGTGTGCCGGCGCTCTCCCCAAGCGTGCCCGCGCTCTCCCCAAGCGTGCCGGCGCCCTCCGCGCTCTCCCTGTTCTCCCCGCGCCCACCGGCGCCCTCCCTGCACCCTCCGCGCTCTCCCCGCGCCCGTCGGCGCCCTCCGCGCTCTCCCCGTGCCCTCCCCAAGCGTGCCCGCGCTCTCCCCAAGCGTGCCGGCGCTCTCCCCAAGCGTGCCCGCGCTCTCCCCAAGTGTGCCGGCGCTCTCCCCAAGTGTGCCGGCGCTCTCCGCGCTCTCCCCGCGCCCTCCCCAAGCGTGCCGGCGCCCTCCGCGCTCTCCCCGCAACTTCCCCGCCCTCCAGGCGCCCTCCCGCTTCCTCCTCCCCCTCCCCGCGCCCTCCCGCGGGCGGCCGTCCGGCCTTGGCCGCCGGAGGGAGCCTGCGCTGTCCTCATTCCACCTCTGGCCGCCGCGGTGCCAAGTTGTTGGCGGCGGCGCGAGTGGCGGCGGGCAGGGGCTGGGCCCGCGCCCCACTCCCCGCGCGCTCCCCGAGCCCGGCGCTCCTAGCGCCCCGCGCTCCCCCCGCCCTCCCGCGACCCCCAGCCCCGCGCCCCCAGCCCCGCGCTCCCGCGACCCCCAGCCCCGCGCTTCCCCCGCCCTCCCGCGACCCCCAGCCCCGCGCTCCCCCAGGCCCTCCCGCGCCCCCCAGCCCCGCGCCCCCAGCCCCGCGCTCCCCCGCCCTCCCGCGCTCCCCCCGCCCTCCCGCGCCCCCCCGCCCTCCCGCGCCCCCCAGCCCTGCGCTCCCCCCGCCCTCCGCGCCCCCCAGCCCCGCGCTCCCAGCGCCCCGCGCCCTCTGATCCCCTGGAGCCCCGCGCTTCCCCGCCCTCCCGCGTCCTCCAAGCTCCGCGCCCCGCGCAACCCCGGGCTCCCCGCGCCCCGCGAGCCCCGCGCTTCCCCCACCTCTCCACGCCCCCGAGCCCCGCGCCCCCCGCGCCCCGCGCCCCCCGAGCCCCCCCGCTCCCCGAGCCCCGCGCTCCCCTTGTTCTCCGCGCCCCCCGAGCCCCGCGCTCCCCGCGTTCTCCGCGTCCCCCGAGCCCCGCGGCCCCCGAGCCCCGCGCTCCCCGCGTTTCCCGCGCCCCCAAGCCCCGCGCTCCCCGCGCCCTGCGTCCTCGAACCCCGCGCCCCCCGAGCCCCGCGCTCCCCGAGCCCCCCCGATCCCCGCGCTCCCCGCGTTCCCCGTTTCCCGCGTCCCCCGCGCTCTCCGCGCCCCGCGTCCCCCGCGCTCTCCGCGCCCTGCGTCCTCGAACCCCGCGCCCCCCGAGCCCCGCGCTCCCCCCCGATCCCCGCGCTCCCCCCCGATCCCCGCGCTCCCCCTGTTTCCCGCGTCCCCCGCGCTCTCCGCGCCCCGCGTCCCGCGTCCCGCGTCCCCCGCGCTCTCCGCGCCCCGCGCTCCCTCTCGCCCTCCGCCTCCCCGCGCCCCGCGAGCCCGGGCTACTCACGTAGAGTCCGGCGTGCCGGGCGCCGAAGAACGGGAAGGGCACGGAGAGCGGCCGCAGCCCCGAGCCGCCGTCGTCCTGCTTCGGGGTGACGGCGTCGCCGCGCTCCGGGCCGAACGGGTAGAAGTCGGCGAGGGCCACGGCGCCCCGCGCCCCGCGCGCCCCGAGCGCCAGGGCCGCGGCCAGCAGCAGCGCCCAGGCCGCGCCGCGCCGCATCGCCGGGGTCCGCGGGGCCGCGCCGCGGCGGGAACGGGCGGGGCCGGGCGCGCGCCCGCGCTGGAGGCGGACGAGGGCGGACCGCGGTGGGGGCGCCCCGGGCCCCGCGCTTAAATAGCCACGCGGGAGGGCGGGGCCATGCAAATTAGCGTCTTAAAGCGCCAGGCCCCGCGGGCGTGCGGCCCGCCCCCTCCCGCCCGCCCGCGCGCCCGCCCCGCCCCACCCCGCGCGCTGGGAACCCTGCCTGTGGCTCCCCGGGGAGCCGGGCCGGGACCCTGCAAGGAGCGGCGGCGGCGTGGAGTCCTCTCCCGTGGGTCTCCAGCTCGGGGGCCCAGCCTGGCCAGCGGGCTGCTGCCTGCAGCTCCACCGCGCTGGCCTGCCTCGGGTTCGAGGCTCCTACCAGCCCAGAAGCGCCTGGGCCCTGCCCTCTGCAGAGAAGACACCGCGGGGCCTGGCACGCGTGGTCTCCGGCCTGTGGCCATCCCGCGTTTTCCCTCTCACCCTTGGATTGCTGGCCTGGGCCCTAGTGTCCCCCTCACCTCTGGGTCTCGGGGCCCATGGCAGGGTCACAGCTGCCGACCCCTCCATCCTGTCTGCTCTCAGACCCTGACTACAAGCTAGAACCTGGCCCCTAACGTCACCAAAGCAAGCAGAAAATGCTAGGACAGGAACAGCGCCTTCTGAGATGCTAGGCGATTTTATGTTTGGTTTTGTGTTTTTCTTTATCTTCTAAACTGTCTCCCATGCACTGTGGTTTGCCAGTCGGACCTAGAAGGCACTTTCAGCATCAGATCATCCAGGGCCGCTGCCCAGGTGGCCTCAGCCCTCTCCTGGTCCCACCGCTCTCGGTGCCCTTCCCGTTGGTGTTGGGACCAGGAGTGGGGTCACCATCCACCACCCGTGTTCCAGCGTGACCATGAGAGCAAGCACGGGCCTCCTGAAGTCCTGTGCCTGGTACCTGGCTGGATTCCCCGCCGTCCTGCCTCTTGGTATAGCAGCCATGCTTTGCAGAGGGTAAACAGACTGGGGTCTGTTGGGTGTCCTGCCCCACCCTAGCTATGGGGGGCAGTTGCCAGTCCCCACTCCTGGCTTTGGGGAGCAAGGTGTCTCCCACACCTCATTGTAAAGGCAGGGGGGTCAGGACAAGGCCCACCAGGCAGCCTCAAGGACAGAGCTGCCACTCAGGGGAGCCTGGAGTGCAGTGTGTGGTTCTACGAAAACCTGGCATGGCACTGGGCAAGGGCTGGCCGAGAAGTCCTGTCTCCTTAGCTGCTGGACTTTCCCTGAGGAAAGGGCAGCCAGCAGCACCAACCCCAGGGCAGCTCCCTGCTAAGGACACGGCAGTGGGGTGTGCAAGGCTCTCCTTCTCCAGGCAGCACTGCCCCACAGCCCTCCATCATCTCTCCAGGACACACCCCTGCTCTGCCCTCCTAGCGTGGCCGGGCCAGCACTTGGGACATGCTGCCTTCTTCTTCCTTGGCACTTGGGCAGGGGACCCCAGTAAAGGGTGTTTCTGGCTGGGTTTGGATCTACCTGGGATCCCGGGCTAGCGTTGTCCCAGCACCCCACACACTGCCGACAGTGGTGCTCAGTAGATGTGCAGAGCAAAGGTGGTTCTCCAGGGGTGGTGGGCCTGTGTGGGGTCCTGCTCAGCGGAATCCCCCAAGTCCCGACCCCTCTCAGAGGTGGGCTCTGGCCTGGCCTTTCAGTCTCCACCCAGGAGTGGCTGTCCCCACCTCCGCCAGGGAGCCCAGGCCTGTGTGGGTTTCAGCGAGGCCTGGCCTACTGGGGTTAACACAGACCCCATTGCTGCCGGGCATTGCATTTCATTCGAAGGAAAAAAGGCAGCTCCACAGGCAAAAGAGAGAGAGAAAAGTGTTGGGCTTTTCTTTTTTTCAGGTGCTAAAAATATTATCAGGAAATACTTTTCAGCAACGCTGTTTTAGGCTCCTCTCTGGACTCAAGGGCGCCTTTGTCTCTGCCACAGAAAATTCACATTTATCAAAACCCAGATCGTTTTTATCAAGCAGGCTCCTGCTCTGCGGCAGGAAACCTGAGCTGCCCACCAGGCCTGTGACACTTTAATTTGGGGCCCAGGCCCTTTAAAACCATGTGCAGTTTGGGGGGAGCCCCAGAGCCACGGCAGGACTTCTGGAATAGGGGGCCTTGAAGGTCAAGTTGGGGAGTTCTCTCCCCTCCTTGTGCCTGGCAGAGAGCAGGGACTGGGCATGGCTGGTGGTCCCACGGTGCTAAAGCCCACCCCCTCTTTTGTCTCCTTTCTTCCTAGAGGGGCTGGCAGAGGGCCGATCCCCAGCAGCGGTTCCCAGCATAAGAGCACAGGTAGAAGCTCTGATCCCTGGCAAATCTCTGCCAGTTCCAGGACGAGGCTGGGGAGATCCCCGGGCACCTGGCGGGCAGGACCCCACTTCTATGCCCAGGCGCTGCCTGACAGGCTGGATGAGGCCTTGGTGCCACAGGCCCGCTGAGGCAGAGCATGGAGTGAGCCTGTCACTCAGCACCCAAGGTGGGGCTTGTGCTCTTGGGGAAATGCCCGGAGGGGCCTGGCTTTACTTCCCAAGGTGACTCCAGGTTCATTGTACTTTATTTAGAGATGCAGAGGTACTGGTCAGAGAGGCTCAGGCTGGGCTTCTGTGGGGAGGGGGGGGTGAAGACAGCCCCGCCAGAGCCAGCCTGACCCATCTCCCCGAGCCCCATGGTTTGTTCTCCCTGCCCGCTGGAAGACACAGCAAGGCAGACTGACCCTTGGAGGACTCGGCTCTGTGAGGAGCCACACTTAGGGGCCTGGGACGGCCTGGCACGTGCGTGTGTGACTCCAGCATCTGAAAGGTGCCTTGGGAGAAGGCACCCTGTCTCCTGCAGGGCCTGGACGGCTGCCACAGACATCCAGAGAGCCCATTCAGGTTGCACAGCTGAGGGGCACAGAGGGGACTCCTGCCAGCCTCAAATGGACTCTGGGGCTTGCTGAGCCTTTTAGAAGCCAGGGCTTGCCAGATGTGGGGAAGCCCAGGGAGGGAGCTGTGGGCCTCCTTCTGAGTGCTAGGAGCAGGGCTGGGCTGTGCCAGCTGGGAGGCCTTCTCAGCCTTTCCCCTGGGACTCTGGGGGGGGAGTGGCCAGGGCAGGCGGCCAGCTCTGCCTGCATGGCCTTGCCTCCGCAGAGGGTGCTCTTGGTCCCTCAAATCTGCAGGGCTGTCTCCGATACCTGCTGGGCAGAGGGTAGGTGGCAGGGCATGGTGGGACCATCCCTGGATTGGGCCATGGAGTCCCAGGGCCATGAGGCCTGGGTCCAAGCAGACCAGACACCACAGGGCTGTTGTCAGGCCCTCCCAGCCCTGGCACCAAAGCCCTCTGGAAGGGTTTAGGAAAATGCCACTTTATTTCCATCAGAAAAAATCATCTCTCTCTCTCTCTCACACACACACACGTATGTATATGCTCTTCTGTTGAACAAGTAAAAACAGTATCTCCTACACTGATTTAATTACTTCTTAAAACACAAAAATATTAGAGCCCCCCGTATGTCAATACCTGTGTGGGCAGCCAGGTAACGAGGGCCCTAAGAGGCCAGAGGGCAAATCGTCAGGTTGGGGGGTTCCATTTCCATGCTGAGAGATACCCAGTCTTCAGAACGGAAATGCGCCTCGGCCGCCACGGCCCCGCCCCTCTGAGGCCTGATGCGGAGGCTCCGCCCCCACCAGTGGAAGACCACGCCCATCTGGGTCCCAAGGACCGGCCTGGATGTGGAAGGCCACACCCTTGCGGGTGCATAGGCCACGCCCCTGAGTGCCGGACCCTGCCCCTAGCGGTGGAAGGCCACGCCCATCTATCTGCCAAGGCGCTTCCCCTCCAAGGCCTGGATGTGGAGGGCCACGCCCCTGTGGGTGCGAAGGCCACGCCCCCTGGATGCGGGGGCTCCGCTCCCCGGGGTGCAGGGTAGGTGCGGGGGTCCAGAGGTGCGGGTGCGGTGCTGGCCTTGCAGGACATTCTGTGGTTTGGCCTGGATTGGTGGAAATGTTTTCCACGTGTTTCCCTGTTTACTGAGCAAGGGCACGGAATGCAGTCCTGGGCTGGGAACCGATCTGGGCGGGGCCAAGCCCAGGTGGGCGTGGTCTCCGGCTTTTCCCCCCCCCCGTGGGCATGGTCTCTGGCTTCCCCCAGCGGGCGTGGTCTTCGGCTACCCCCCCCGCGGGCGTGGCCTCCGGCTCCCTGGGGTGGGGGCGTGGCCTCCGGCTCCCCGGGGTGGGGGCGTGGTCTCCGGCTCCCCAGGGGTGGGGGCGTGGTCTTCGGCTCCCCCCCCCCCGCCCGCGGGCGTGGCCTCCGGCCCCCCCATGGGCGTGGTCTCCGGCTCCCCCCCCCCGCGGGGTGGTCTCTGGCTCCCCGGGGTGGGGGCGTGGTCTCCGGCTCCCCCGTGGGCGTGGTCTCCGGCTGGGGGTGGGGGCGTGGTCTCCGGCTCCCCCCCCCCCATGGTCTCCGGCTTCCCGCGGTGAGCAGGCTTGGGGGTGCTCTGCAGGAGCTGGGGTTCTCCCGGAGTGGGGGGAAGCAGAGAGCCCCTCCTGCGCTGCAGGACTCAGCGGCCGGGCCCCTCTGGGGCCACTGCCCTGGCTGGTCAGGGCTTCAGGTGTCCCGGCAGTCCCGGTGGGCTTCACTGCGCGGCCCCGGCCCCAAAGGCCGGGCCTAGGCAGGTCTGTTGCCGGGCTTCACCTCCTGGCCCAGCTGCTCCTTCAGGCTGGTGACCTGGACGGGGCGGGGCTGCGTCAGGTGAGGACAGCTGTCCCAGGGCCAGGGGACCGGGCAGAGGCCACAGCCGGAGGGGAGGAGGAGAGTGGGCGCAGGTGGACGGTCAGAGGGTGTGCGTTTGTGTCCGCCATCCACACCCAGCCTGGGGACAGAGAAGTCTGCCCACCGAGGAAAGCCCAGTGTAAGGGTCACCACACTGCTGTGGACCCAGCCGCTCAGGAGGCTGAGATCTGGGTGGGGAGGCT